ACCCTTTTATGTAATGATGTTTACTTTGAATTTATATTAGTTCACACAAACACTCCATCCATGCTTTTGTTCCGGCCCTCTGGTCCAGTTTAAGAACCCATTGTGGCCCTCGAGTCAAAAAGTTTGCCCACCCCTGCCCTAGACCATGTGTGTGCAGCGTTGGGGGTGGGGGGGCTGGTGCCCTGAGGCCGTGGCCAGATGGGGTGAAAGCTGGGCTCTGGCCCCAGGTCACCACGATGCCAGAATACCTCCGGAAACGCTTCGGGGGCAACAGGATCCCCACCCTCCTGGCTGTGCTCTACCTGTTTATCTACATCTTCACCAAGATCTCGGTAAGGTGGGGACCTGCTGGGGAGATTGGCCAGGGCCCCTGCTGGGTGTCTCCACCCATGAACTTTGTCCTTCCCTTGGGCAAGCTCCAGGGCACCTCGAGGACATTGGGCGGGTAGGTGAGCACAGGCAGAGGGTGTCAGGGGGAAGGGTGGAGGAAGGGACTCCCAGCTCCTGCCAAAGCTTCCTTGGCAACGCCTCGGGCGGGGCGGGTCACTGACTGCACGGGACTTCGATCTTCTCCTGAGATAGACCACGATCAGCAGTGATCAGCAGTGCTGATGGCCTTGGGCTGCCCGCCCCGCCCTTGGATGGGCAGAGCTCCTGGGAAGTGGCCAAGAGCAGGGGCGTGTGCCGCTCAGCCAGCCTGGCTCACACTGTCTCGTCCAGCTGGAGCCGGGACAGCTTGTCCTGTGTGAGGGTGAGGGGGCCCGAGGAGTGCCATTCCATCGAACAGTAACTGGCTCCACGCCGGGGAAGCCTCCACAAGGGAAGTTCTGTCGGAGGAGGCGTTTGGAGAGAGGGAATTGGCATTCCAGAAAGATAAATTAGAACACGCCAAAGCTGGGTGGCATGGGTGGACGTGACTTGTTCCCGAGGACCCCGAGGACTGGGAATAGGAGGCGAGTGAAGGAAATGAAGCCAGGCAGCAGGCAAATCACGACGGGCCTGGCATGAAACTCTAACTTATTCAAGACCCTTGTGGGCCTGGAGCCACTGGAGGGCTTTCCTGGGGGAAGGACGAGATGACCACGCCCGCGTGCGATTAGGTGCACTGTGAGGGCGGGGTGTACGAAGACCAAGGGCAGAAACGGGACCACTGAGGAGGTTGTTGTATTAGCCCAGGGAAGGGGTCTCAAATGTAATTGCCCACAAGGCTCCAGTCTGAGACCCCCAAATCTGGAAGGAGATGGGTGAAGAAACAAAATGTATGATTCCTCTGTGTTTGCCTGAGTCCAGGCTGGGGGAACCTCTGCTACACACATCTGTCCATCCATCCACTCACCCACCCACCCATCCACCCATCCATCCATCCATCCATCCATCCATCCATCCATCCATCCAATAAATAATTATTGAGCCCCAGCCATGTGCAAGGTTCCATGTCAAGTGCTGGAGGAACAGTGGTGAGAAATACAGCCAGAAATATAGCCAGAAATACAGCTTGATAATACCCTCATCAAGCTTCCATTCTAATGGAGGAAAAGTAATGAAGGTGAATGAGTCTTCTGACAGGGGAGGGACCCACCTCTAGGAGGCTTTTAAATCTGGATTATTTTGTGGCCTGAGGCTCAGCTCACCAGCTCAGTGATCTGCCAGTCCCTTGCAGGATGTTCAGCTCCATCCATCCACTCACCCACCCACCCATCCACCCACACATTCATCCATCCATCCACTCACCCACCCACCCGTCCACCCACACATCTGTCCATCCATCCATCCACCCACACATCCATCCACCAATCCATCCACACATCCATCCATCCTCCCATCCACCCATTCACCCATCCATGCATCCATCCACCCAAGCACACATCTACCTACCCATCCATCCATTCACTTTATGTTTCAACAGGTGGACATGTATGCAGGCGCCATCTTTATTCAGCAGTCTTTGAAACTGGATCTGTACCTGGCCATAGTTGGGCTGTTGGCCATCACAGCTCTATACACTATTGCAGGTATGACTGAATAAGGGGTGATGCTGGGAGGGGTGGTGGGCAGGGGCTGTGCCACCCCATCTTTTCCCAGCCCGTCTTCTGGTGTTCTACTGTGTTAAGACCATTTATCCATTAAACTCCAGTTCATTGCCTCAGATAACATGATTTCTCTTGGCTGTTGTCCTAAGGAAGGAGGTTGCCCATAAGAGAGAGGATTTAAAGTGCAGCGCAGCTGCACAAGCATTTCCCAATTACTCAAGACCTGGTTATCGAGGACCCACCAGGCGCTGTGCCCGTGTCTCACATGCACTGAACAGGCTGGGCCACAGACCACCTTATTCTGGAGCCCGAGGCGGGGCAGCCTCGTCTCTGCCCCTCAGACTTGCATCCTAGACCTACTGGACTCTGGCACAGCGTAGAGGAGTATCTGGTTTTGAAGCCTCACCTTCTCTGCCTCTTATTGGTGTAATCGGCTTATTCTGTTGTATGTATATCACCTCCCGTATGCCAGACATCGTGCTGGGAGGAGGGTGAAGCAGCGAACGGAGAGACAAAGTCTTTGCCCAAAGGAGCTTACGTGCTCGTGGGGATGGGAGGCGTGAACAAGGAAACCAGCGCACAATGTCAGGTGTATTGTCACAACTAGCAAGCGCCAAGCAGGAAAGTTCAGCGGCTGAGCTGGGGAGTGTGGGGAGGGTTTCTTCATGGGATGTTGAGCTGCGGTGACAGTTGAACCAGACCTGAGTGATGAAGGAAGTAGCCATGAGGCGCAGGGGAAGCGCTCCAGGCAGAGGGAAGGACGATCGCAGGCTCTGACATGAGAGCACGGTTTGCCTGTTTGCGGGACAGCAAGGGCGATAGATGTGGCTGAGGCTGAGCAAGCACAGGTCCAGGTTGTGCCCCGCCCATAGGCGAGGCAGTGACACGGAGGGCTGGGACCGGAGCCTGGAAGGACACGAAATGAGCCTGGATCGAGGGCTATGTGCTGTGGAACCACGCAAAGGCCTCTGCTGCCGGAAGATCGCGGCTGAGGTTTCAGCACGGAGAGGAGCGTGTGCCTGAGCCCAGGGGAAGGGAAAGGCCGGCCACGGGTGCAGTTTATCTTCGTGTCTCCTTGTTTGGGCCTGTCTCCCCATTAGACTGTGAGCTCGGCGAGGCCTGGCGGCCTGCTGTTTTGTTCGCCTCTGTATCCCACTGTGTAGAACTAAGTGGGGACCCACCAGATGTCAGCGACGATCGAATGAGATACTAAGCCCAGTGCCTGGCACATGATAAATGCCCCCTAAACCTTGGCATCGAAATGATGGTGGGCGTCAGTGGTACCAAACTTCGGGTTCTCACCATGCTCCAGCCGGTGAACTACCCGGCAGGACAGCAGGGCATTGGGCCAGAAGCCAGGCAGGTCTCTCCCACTCGGGGCAGGGCCTGTTAGCAAGGACGGAGCGTCACAGGAGAACTCCACACCCACGGGCATGGACTTTATTGCAGTGACCTTGCCCACCGGTACACGTGTTTATGTCAGACAAGGGAAGAGGGAAGGGGGAGGGGGAGGGAGGAGACTGGAAAGACTGCCCTGACCAGGATTATTACAAGCATTTTTTTGGTGGCAAAACCAAGAATCCTCTGAGGCCAACCACCATGACCCTGTGCGGGAAGCCTGTTAGGGCTCTGAAGACCTCGCATCCCTTTTCTCATGTTAGAAGCAAAGGTATTCAGAGCGTGGGACTGCGGCCCAAGCACCACTTCCCGTGTCACTTGGCAATTACTGGGTACGGACACTGGCAAACTTAGGGGCTTAAAACAATGGTGATCGTTGCCCACAATTCATTTCCCGTATTGTCTGCTGGTGGGTTTTGCTGGTCCCGCCTGCTCCGTTGAACTGTTGTTAGGTGGCACCGGGAACAGCCAGCTGGAGCCAGAGGGCCTCACTCCCAGGGCTGGGGTCTGCCTGGGCGGTCAGCTGGGCGTTCCCTCCATGAGGACCATCCTCCACTGGGCTAGGCAGGGCTCCTTAAAGCAGCATGGTGGCCCTGGCCAGTGTTGCAAAAATGGTTAGAGCGTTAGACCTCGGACCGAAGGGTCCCAGGCTCAATTCTCGGCCCAGTCCAGTCGGGGTGCGTTTGGGAGGCAACTGGTCGATGTGTCTCTCTCACATAAGTGTTTTTCTCGCTCGCACTCTCCCCCTCTCTCCCTCCCACTCTCTCTCTAAAAAAAAAAAAAAAAAATCAATGGGGAAAATATTCTCCGGTGAGGATTAAAAAAAAAAAAGGAAGCATATTCTTAGGGCAACAGAGGAGCAAGCACAGGAGCCGAGGTCCCCTGGAGGCCGAGGCTTGGAGCTGCACGATATCATTGGTCAGAGCCAGCCGTGCTTGGGAGGTAGAGAGATCGACTTCACCTCACCCCGAACGGGGCGAACGGGGCGGCAGAGCTGAGCTGCAGAACAGGAATGCGCAGCGGGTGTTGTGGCCATCTTTGCAGACCGTTAACACTGAGAGATCTCCACGGCTGGGTCGTGACTGTCGGGGTCCCTCTGTGATGCAGAGTAACTCCTCCCCGTCAGTGCCCGACCCTCAGCTCAGTCCTCGCCCCTCCCTCCCCAGGTGGCCTGGCCGCTGTGATCTACACGGATGCACTGCAGACTGTGATCATGCTCATAGGAGCATTCACCCTGATGGGCTACAGTAAGTGGGGTCCCCGGCCACTGGGGTGGATGCGGGCACTCCCTCAGCAGGGCATCTGCCCTCACCGCTGGGACCAGCACACCCAGCTGTCGGAAGTCCTGCTTGAGGCATGGTGACTTAGCGGAAAGCAAACGGTGCTTATCATGAGAACTTGCTGGGTTTTTTAAAGTAAAAATTAATAGCTCGCCTATATTAATATGGATGAGTGATTAAATAAATAAATAAAGGGGGGATATTTTTTCATCATTTCACTCTTAGCCTATCTATGTCTTTATATTCTAAGCAGGTTCCTTATAGACATCATATAGTTGCTTTTTAAATCTAATCTGACAATCTCCACCTTTCAATTTGTCTCCGGGTTAATTCCATTCATGTCATTATAGATAGGGTTGGATTAAAATCTACTACTTGCCAGTTGTTTACTTGTTCCATCTTAGTGCTGGCCTAGGGTTTACGATAGTCATCTCAGTCTACCATACCAAAAAAAAAAAAATGCCTTCCACTGTGTAATCTGGTGAAAGCCACATTATTTCGAGGTAACCCTGAATCCTTCCAATGAATGAAAGAAGCAGATTCCAAATGGCAGTACTTGATTCTTTCTTGGAGTCGCTCACGCTTATGCAGACACTGTGCCCTTGTGGGTAGTGTCTCGATGAGCCAGCTCCATCCAGCCCGTGAGGTTGGCGCCACGGGGCCCCACTGACAGATGAGGAAACAGCCTCAGAGAGGGGAGTCGCTAGCTCAAGGCCACACGTCTGTGCACCACTCTTGCAATACCTGAACTGAGAGGCGCTGAGACGTTCAGAGGAGAAAGCATGCTTCCTTAATGCAAGGCTGCGTAGCCTGGGGCCTCTGAGCAGAATTCAGGGTGTCTGTGAACCTTGGATGGGGTGGGGGCGCAGAAACCACCTTTATTTTATGAATCTATCATTGAAATGTTGCATTTTTCAATTACAAATGTAGGCAATAAACCATGGCAATATTAGCCATGTCTGTGCCTTTGGTACCCCAGGATATCCCAGACGTTCTTATCCAGATGTTCTTACAGTTGATGCTGATGCATTGAAACCCTGTTTGTGCTCAGGGCTACTTTGAGACAAAATTGTTATTAGCCCCCCTGCTAGGTTTTTACTACTTAATGGGCAAATACATAAATTACTAGCTCATAGTAGCTTTTACGGTTTGATGATTGCCTTTCCTACATTTGATTTCCTTGACAAGCCTACCTATTTTGTGTGATGCATTTAGCAATATTATTCTGAAAAGCAATCCATACTCGCTACCAAAGGCATTAAAAACAAAAAGAAGAGGCTGAGACCCTTAAGGTGCTAACTTTCCTTGGTAGCCGTCCTGAGTGGGGTTTCACTATCTCCACCAATCCTGCTACTGCTGGGCTCCCTCCGAGCTCCTGGCAAGCGCTCCCTCTGACGTCCAGGTTTTGCTGCGGTCGGAGGGCTGGACGGCCTGATGGAGAAGTACTTCCTGGCCCTGGCCACCAACCGGACTGAGAACAGCAGCTGCGGGCTGCCCCGGGAGGATGCCTTTCATATCTTCCGAGACCCGCTGACCTCCGACCTCCCGTGGCCCGGGATCCTGATTGGAATGACCATGCCGTCCCTCTGGTACTGGTGCACGGACCAGGTACGACCCGCGCCAGCGCCCTCAGCACGCTGTGGGGTGGCTGTGCCCCGCCTCCTCCCCGCACTGTTCTCTCGTCTGCCTTTCTCCCCCACCATCCTTGATCACGGCTCTGCTCTGCTCACTTGATGGCAAAGTTTAATACACCCTGCCGGCTGCCCGGGAAGCAAAGGAGAGAAAACCTTCTAAGGGAGGATAAAACTGGGGCCGGGTATTGTTTGCTCAACACTCTCTGGGCGTCATCTAAGTGCCAGGCACTTAGAAATCACCAGTAAACAAACCGGCGGGGCTCGCAGGGCTCGTGGAGGGACAGACAGACAGTAAGTAAGTGATGTGCATGTCACAGGTGGTGAGTGGCATTAACAAAAGCAGAGCAGGGCCGGCGGGCTGAGTCAGTGGCTGAGCATCAGCCTATGAACCAGGAGGTCACGGTTCGATTCCCGGTCAGGGCACATGCCCAGGTGCGGGCTCGATCCCCAGTAGGGGGCGTGCAGGAGGCATCCCAATCAATGATTCCCTCTCATCATTGATGTTTCTATTTCTCGTTCCCTCTCCCTTCCTCTCTGAAATCAATGAAAATATATATTTTTTAAAAAGCAGAGCGGCGACAGAGGGGTTGGGTGTGGGGTGCAATTCTAAATAGGGGGGTGAGGGGAGATGTGCCTGGGTGACCTGAGCGCAGGCTCAGGGAGGAGAGCAGGGCTCCATCTGGTGGTGGCGGGAGGAGCGTTGGCAGCAGAGGGCACCGCAGAGCACAGCTGTCAGGCACGCGTAGCTGGTGTGAGAACAGAGGGAGGAAAGCAGACGACAACAGTGTGTTACACGCCCGTCTGTGCAGGAAAGAGAACAGACTGAACCTCCGCACTCACTGGGATGTGCATGGAGGCCTCCGGGTGGGCGCGCCTAGACGGGCCTAAACGGAAAAGAGCAGGTACTGTGGGCAGAGGCGCCAGGGCCGGGACCACTTCCCTGCACAGCCACTTTCTCAGGTTTCAAACCCAGTGACTATGTCACCGGTTGAAATGTTTTGTTTTGTTTTGTTTTCTGTTACATCAACAGTCAGATCCGCGTACCATTTTAGAGGCTCAGTTGCACAGTTAGAGCTGATGCGAGTTTAACTAAGAAAGGCACTGCCGAGAGTGCAGCGAGGTCTGTGTGAGAGCTGAGCACCATCGCAGCGACTGTGCAATACCCCACGCGGCCCCTTTAAGCGGCAGACCCCGCCCCCTCCTTAGAAAGCTGAGGTCGGGGAGCCCAGGGAGACAGGTCGGGTCTAGGCTGACAGCGTGGGCTCCACCTTGAACAGACCCAGAATCCGGTCCAGGCAGCATCTCCGTGAGACACGATTTAGCACCTCAGCCTCCGTTTCCTGTTAAGTGGGGTTACTGATAGTTTTGAAAGAGGGGAGCGTGGGGGACTGGCTCACGGTGCTCTTGCTGCAGGGACAGTTAATATGCAAACCATTAAAAACACTTAGGTTTTTACACGGTTTACGGTACTGCTGGGCACCGCTGGCCAGCTTACATCAGTCAACCTCTGCCCGTTTCCTTGCGAGTCCTCAGGCCCGAATGAGCTGCACCGCAGTGTGACCCTCCAGGCCACCGCCGGCCACCCTGCTTTGTTCAAGAATTGGAGGCTTATCCGAGGGGGCTCGGCCTCCTTCCGAGGGCCAGGGAGGGCGAGAGGGTGCAGGAACCGAGTGAGCCCCACGCGCCATGACGACGACAGTGATGATGACGATGAAGACGACGCGTTGCTGTTGAGCTGGGTCGGCAGAGCCCAAAGACTGTGGTCACCGTGCGATGCCTTCGCCAGCACAGCCTTAGGCTCCTGTTAGAGCAGAAGACAGGCAAGGCGACACCCACTGTTCACGGACTGCGAGCTCGGTCCGGATCGTGCTGGGCAGACACGGAGGAGGTGACTAAGGAGCCATAGGAGTAACACGGCAGGTGCCTGTCCCCATCGCCCCGCCGGCCATGCGTAGTGCACTCCCTTCTCGAACACTGTGAGCCTGGAGGCTGTTGCCCAGGGACACCCTCCCCGGCTGGTGGGTTTTTGAGCAGCACAGCTGCCTGGAAACGTGCTCCGCTGTCTCCTAAATTCGTATCTGGAGGCTCTACTTCGAGGAATAAGAGCCAGGATTCTCCTCGGTCCCAGCTCCTCCCTAGAAACGGCTGTTGCCAAAGCAGGCTCTTTCCTGGGCTCCACGTGGACGGGCCAGGACTGCGGCTCCCCGCGTCACGGAGCAGGAAGAAGCATCTGCAGGCGTGACACCCTCACGTTTCTCCACCGCGTGCTCACGGGCCTCCGCTCCCCATGAGAGGTGCCTGTTTGGAATCCTGAGAAACGACAGAAACAGTGACACCAACTTCTAAACACCGTGGCTCCGGGCTCCGGAGGGAGGCCTCCCTGCGCCTGTCAGCCTCGGGCACGCAGCTCCCACATCTTAGTCTTTCACGGGCAGCATCCAGGCGGGAGCAGTGCAGGGGGGCGGGTATCAAACCTGAATGAGCTCTGGGAGAGGTGGGGCATCCGTTAGCTCATGGAGCACAGACTGCAGGCGCTGAAGTGGCTCCAGGAACCGTGGACTCGGTCTGGTTCCCCTCACAGGTTCCCTCACCATTGTCTTCCTTTCTTTGGCTAATCCTCACCCAAGGATATTTTTTCCATTGATTTTTTAGAGAGAGTGGAGGGGAAGGAGGAAGGGGAGAGAGAGAGAAACATCAATGTGAGAGACACATCGATCGGCTGCCTCCCACATGCCCCGGGAGCTGGGGATCAAGCCTGCATCTGAGGTACCTGCCGTTGACCAGGAATCAAACCCACGACCCAACACTCTGACGGCCGAGCCACACCGGCCAGTGCACCATCGTCTTCCTTTCTCACCCGCTGACTTCATTGTCTCCCACCCAAGCCAACAGGAAGGGGCTGGCAACTGCTAAGTCCAAATCCAGCCATGCAGTGCCGGCTCTGGCTGGCCCAGCGGGGGCCGGGTGCTGACCCCGGGGCCGGGCGCTGTGCCCAGGATGATTGGCAGCTTGTGAAGAGGACATGGATTTCAAAGGAAGGGGCAGGACACTAGGAAGACTCCCACACTGATGTCCACAATAAAACCAAAGGCGCTCCAACGTGGTCCTGCTTGCCACCGCATCGCCATGGTAACGACACAGTTTACTCCTGAGAAGAAAGGGGCTGGTACCCACCGAGGCCTCTCCCTTCTCCAGATGCTCCAGGACCCAAGGCCTAAGGAAGCAGGAGAGAAAGCTCTGAGCCGTGGGATCCAATCTGGAGGCTGGAGGAGGATCGAGGGGACCAGTCTCCTCGTCAGAAAACACCCTGGGGAAAGTCATTCGCTTTGAGGGGGTAGATCTTGGCAAGGCCTACCTTCACCTCACCCGACAGAGAGTTTTTGAGGAGGCACCAGACAAGACGTAGGCACAGTGTGTGCCGTAGCCACAAGCCCAGACATCCCAATCCTGTCGGCAGCCATGCGCCAGGCCCTCGCGGTCCCTCTCTTAACTCCTCACTCCAGCCAGACCGGCGCGCTGGCTTCTCGCCTTGGTCTTTTTAAGGCCCCTCCACCACCAGGACAAAGATCACTCAAAAAGCAGCCAGGCTATTACACCTGCTGGGTAGTCCCCCGACCACCTTCCTGCTGCGGCCATGGCCAGTGTTAGCTGTTCCCCGTGTCTGATCTGTGGTTGCGTGGCTGTCTGATCTGGTTTCCGAGCTCTAACGCTAACTCCCTTCTCTTCTGGGGACCTGTTTGAACGTCTTCCTCTGGTTTCATCCAACAGCAGCAGTGACGACAATAATCACTAGTGGTCTCTCTGCGTAAGAACTGCTAAGCACCTCAGAGCAAGCAGTTGGGATCCCCATTCCGCAGATGGGAAGACTGAGGGCTGGGACTTTAAGGAACTTGTCCGCGCTCACAGAGACCTGGTGGGGCGGGGATCCATGCCTGAGTCTGTCTGAGCTTCTAACCATTCTATTCATTTGCTCCGAGGGGAGGCCACAGGTCTGTCGCCAAGCCCACCACCACGACCTCTCCTGACAGGCCTCCCGCCTTCCCACCAGAGAGGGGACGTCTGTGCCCGCTGCTGTAGGAGGAGGGAGGGGGCAGATGTGTGCCAGGTGCCGGGCGGGTGAGCGGAGATGGGTGAGGGCCCTGCTCCCACGTGTTCATTCCTCCTGGTCACCTTCTTCTTCCCAGCCAGATGTTGGTTACCTACTCAGTGCCACCTGACTACTGTCCCTTTTAGGGCCTGAAAGCTACACAAGCAGACTCCAGTCTGGGTGGCCACCTGTGACCGGGCTCTTTGGGGTCCTGGCTGCTGACTGGGGTGTCCAGTGGGACAGGTGCCTGCCCTGCGTGTCCGCAGGCTCAGGTGGTGCCGTTGTCATTGAGTTGGACATTGTCCTCGATCATTTTGGCAATTATGTGACAGGGTCCACGGGCCTGGAGATGAGACACCCCTCAAACAGTTTCCCCCAAAGAGATGTGCATGCCTGCACTGCGGAGCTGCCACAGGCGGGGGGTGGTGGGGGCCGGGGCAGATCCCACCTCCCGACACTTCCCTTTTCGGATTCTTGGCTGATTTGGTGAGGACCTCAGTTGTCTGCAGGAAAAAGACAGTTTAAGTCTTTATTTTCTTGATGGAGAGGTGGTAATATCAACAGTAACAATGAATATTTACTGGGCAGTTGTCAGACCCTATTCTAAATATTCTAAATGGTTAGACTTCATTTAATTGTCGAAACAGTTCTCACATGCTCCCCATTTTATCGATCGGGAAACAGGCAAGGAGAGGTGAAAGTGTTTGCCCAGGACCACAAGCGGAGAAGTGGGGGCGGGACTGAACCCCAGCTACCAGTGTGCAGATCGGCACGTAAGCCAGCCTGGCAGCCGGACTGAGGGCTCAAACGGTGCCATCAGAACGGCTTCTCCGTCCTCCAGCTCCTCGCCTCCTCCCTCCGAGATGACTTCGGTCTCAGGCTTCCTGGCGGAGGCGGTGGTCACCCCCCTGACCACAGGGGGTGGGAAGAGGAGAGAGACGCCTCCTCAAGAAGCCGGGCGAACCGAGGCCTGAGCCCGCTGCGCCTGCGAGGACTGTGCTGCCAGCGCCTCACCCACTGTCTTCCAGGTGATCGTTCAGCGGAGCCTGGCGGCCAAGAACCTGTCCCACGCCAAAGCGGGCTCCCTGATGGCCGCGTACCTGAAGGTGCTGCCCCTCTTCCTCATGGTCTTCCCTGGCATGGTCAGCCGTGTCCTCTTCCCAGGTGAGAGGCCGCGGGAGGGGAGGCCGCGGGAGGGGAGGTCGCGGGAGGGGAGGCCGCGGGTCTGCGACTCAGGCCTGTGAAGTGTCCAGAACATTCTGCCGACCTGCTGAGAACACGTGGCTGGAGGCCCTTCCTGGTGATGCAGCAGGTGTCTGCCCGGCTCTCTGCCACCTCCCAGCAGTGGGCACATCCCGAGGGCCAGCAAGTGGGGTGGAGGCCAGCTGTCTCTGCCAGGTCCCTGGGGCCTCATGCTGAGAGCCCCTCCCACCCCTCAGTGTCCGGGCCGGGGTAACGTTGGCCCAATGGAACCCTTTGGGGGATTTTCCTCAACAAAAACCCGGGCTAGCAAAGCGTGTGTGTGTGTGTTGGTGTGTGTGTGTGTGTGTCGGTGTGTGTGTGTGTGTTGGTGTGTGTGTGTTGGGGGGTGTGTGTTGGTGTGTGTGTGTGAAGGGGGACTGAGCAGGCCTGGGTGGTGTTACTGGGAGTGCTGGGTGCTGGGAGTGGTGATCTGGACGGAAGAAAGCTCCTCAATGTCCACCCCTGAGCTCACAGGGAGGCAAGGCAGAGCGCTCCACCCGATGCCCCCCCTCCTCCCGCCACAGGTCGATGCTCAACCACTGAGCCACGCCAGCCAGGCTGGTCCAGTATTAATTTTGTCTAAGGTTGAACCAGAGATTTGGGGGCATCCACTTTTATTCCATAGCAATTGCTATCAGTATTACAAATTGGGCCTCAGCACCCACTTTTTAAAAAAATCTTTATTGCTGAAAGTATTACATGTGTCCCCATTGACCCCCTCCGACTCAGCACCCATTACCTCTGCCATTGACGGGTGTTAGTGGAGAGGAGGTTCCAGCCTTGAAAAGACCAGCAGGGCGCGGGGTGACTCCAGGCCAGTGATGGCAAACCTATGACACGCGTGTCAGAGGTGACACGCGAACTCATTTTTAAAAAATATATATATTTTATTGATCTTTTTTTACAGAGAGGAAGGGAAGGGGATAGAGTTAGAAACATCGATGAGAGAGAAACATCGATCAGCTGCCTCCTGCACACCCACCACTGGGGATGCATGGAGGGGACTCTAGGCAGACCAGCGGGGCATGGAGGGGACTCTAGGCAGACCAGCGGGGCATGGAGGGGACTCTAGGCAGACCAGCGGGGCATGGAGGGGACTCTAGGCAGACCAGCGGGGCATGGAGGGGACTCTAGGCAGACCAGCGGGGCATGGAGGGGACTCTAGGCAGACCAGCGGGGCATGGAGGGGACTCTAGGCAGACCAGCGGGGCATGGAGGGGACTCTAGGCAGACCAGCGGGGCATGGAGGGGACTCTAGGCAGACCAGCGGGGCATGGAGGGGACTCTAGGCAGACCAGCGGGGCATGGAGGGGACTCTAGGCAGACCAGCGGGGCATGGAGGGGACTCTAGGCAGACCAGCGGGGCATGGAGGGGACTCTAGGCAGACCAGCGGGGCATGGAGGGGACTCTAGGCAGACCAGCGGGGCATGGAGGGGACTCTAGGCAGACCAGCGGGGCATGGAGGGGACTCTAGGCAGACCAGCGGGGCATGGAGGGGACTCTAGGCAGACCAGCGGGGCATGGAGGGGACTCTAGGCAGACCAGCGGGGCATGGAGGGGACTCTAGGCAGACCAGCGGGGCATGGAGGGGACTCTAGGCAGACCAGCGGGGCATGGAGGGGACTCTAGGCAGACCAGCGGGGCATGGAGGGGACTCTAGGCAGACCAGCGGGGCATGGAGGGGACTCTAGGCAGACCAGCGGGGCATGGAGGGGACTCTAGGCAGACCAGCGGGGCATGGAGGGGACTCTAGGCAGACCAGCGGGGCATGGAGGGGACTCTAGGCAGACCAGCGGGGCATGGAGGGGACTCTAGGCAGACCAGCGGGGCATGGAGGGGACTCTAGGCAGACCAGCGGGGCATGGAGGGGACTCTAGGCAGACCAGCGGGGCATGGAGGGGACTCTAGGCAGACCAGCGGGGCATGGAGGGGACTCTAGGCAGACCAGCGGGGCATGGAGGGGACTCTAGGCAGACCAGCGGGGTGCGGGGACTGTAGGCAGACCAGCGGGGTGCGGGGACTCTAGGCGGACCAGCGGGGTGTGGGGGACTCTAGGCGGACCAGCGGGGTGTGGGGGACTCTAGGCGGACCAGCGGGGTGCTGGGGGGGGGCTCTAGGCGGACCAGCGGGGTGCGGGGACCGTTGGCCCTTGGGCTTCCCAGTGGAAGGAAGGTCTGGGGCTTTGCCGCCCCTTAGGTTTATGCCCCATTAGCAAGAGAACAAGCCACACTCTGGACCTTTAAACTGTGGGCTCACATGGTCACGCTGAGTAAATGAGCAGTTTCAGCGCAGATAGAAACATAGAGGCTAATATTCAACCTCGCCTGGAGATGCTGCGAGCCCCAGCATCCGAGGCCAGGGTGCACTTGACCTCGAGGCCCTAAATGGTCACCGTGACGCAGGTGTTGCCTGAGAACCAGGGGGAGCTGGAGTGAGCGCGGTGGGGCTGCCCGCCCGACCAGGGGTGGCTCCCGGTTGCCACAGGAGGTGGCGGGAAGGCCATGGTGCCCGTCAGCGAGGAAGGACAGAGCAGAGGGCGGGCCTGGGAGCTCCTTGTGGGCGTGAGTCCACCTGGCGAAAGGGAGGAGTCACAGTGGAGGTGGGGGGTG